TATAACAAGGAAGAACATCTTCCACAATGTCAAATTGAGCTCTTATAAATTATTTCTCATTTAGATTTCTCTTATAGATTATTTAAAAGACATATTTACTTGGCTCATATTCCTAAGTAAATAATAAGTTAAATTTTTTTAGTTTATATTTTATATTTTTTATACTTACTAGTATGATCTCATTTTCAGTGACTATTTTATGCATTTATACTCATAATCTTCTGCAGTGGTTTTCTAACTGTGCCTTGGGCTACCAGGAAGGCTCCTCAAAGCATTTGGCACTCCAGACTTCCTCTGCCCACTCTAACCAGAGTAGTTCCACTTTTAGTTATTTTGTAAAATTTTAAACTTTTAAATTAAAATAAGATTTCATCTGAAGAAAGAGTTCTCCAACTAAAAATATTTAAAAACCTTTGACGAAGCTTAGCCACTTATTAAAGTCATGAGCAATTGTTTGTTAATTATTCTTTTCTATCCTTGAACCTAAGTTATATTTCATTTTTATCTATGTCGTATACATCAAATATATTTCAAACATATTGCATTTTTGGAATGAGAGAGCCTGGATTAGTACAACAGGTAATGGGGCAGGGGGGGAGGAGTAGATTTTAATGTATTTTATTTAAGTTGTTCAAAAGACTCTGTAACTTATTATAAAATTGACTCAGCTCTGAATTATTAGCAATAATATGACTATATAGCTATATAACATAATACCACACACACATATACATACATATATATTGCTTTGTGCACTAAAAATATTCAGAAAACTCAGTGATATTCTTGCTAACAATCTGAGAAGGAAGTGAACTCAAGAATTTATTGATTGAGCATTAATGAAACCTGTCTGTCTAGCAGTTATGGGCTCCTTTGGTGTGTGTCTCTCCACTTTCCAACTGAGCAGATACTCATAGCCCTTGCTATCTAGCACAAATAACCCGTCTTTGAATTGACTGTATAGCCAAATACAATTAGAAGTATAACTTCTAATAAATTGATTTTATGAAATACATGGTATAAAATTAAAATGAGAAGAGCATTCCACACATTGGAATAATTTCTTCATTATGTAGCCTTTACCTTTTCAAATTTATTTTGTTCTATCATTCCTTTATTTCTATGTTGCCTACTTTTCTTGAGAGCTGTCCAGCATGTTATTCTTAGCTTAATCCTATATAATAAAGAGCTAATATGCTAATGGTCGTGACACCCTCACGCCGTAACAACCATTCAGCAGGAGGCTGCGTGCGCAGCAGGGTGGAGATGGGGTGGAAGCAGGGAGGAGCCCGGAGGAGGTGAGACCATCCCATGCGGGGAGGGCGGGGGTGAGAGCCCGTAGTGCCCTCTCACCAGTCCTTCACCACCCACTGCTCGCACTCAGTGTGCGCGCCGCCAAGAAACAGCGCTTAAAACTCCACAGCAGGCGGAAGGCTTCCATGCTCTCCTTCAGCGCCATGATGGGGCGGAGCCACCGCGTTGCTCTGGAGATGGGGCGGAAGCGGGGAGGCGCCCTGAGGAGGCAGGACCAGCCTGAGGTGACTCACAAGACCGAGGGCGGTGCTTGAAGTGGCCAGAGAAGGCCGGAAGGGTTGGGGATGGGGCCAGGCGTGCTTGAGCTCTGGGTGGAGAGGTTAGGGTGTCAAGCGGGGGCATGGGCGGTTGGGTGGGGCTGCACAATTTCGTGTGCCCGGTCACTAGTATACTTATAATAGACTGCCCAGTACCTTGTTATTTTTTTCTTCACAAACTTGTCTACTACCCATAAAGCCTAGGTCTGTTTAAAGTTCTAGACAGAGCTTGTGAAGCTTGGTGCCCATTGTCCACTGATGATTCTTGCCTGATAATTGCAAAATGGTGATTTTCCAATTCTTTTAATTCTTCTGCTCCTCCCATATTTAGCAGGCAGCAGTCTACTGTAAGGAGAGCCTACCCAACTTTCTTTATTCATCTATATATTGTGAATAAGGACTTATGGATTTTTATTTTACTAAATAGGTTACTATTAATTACTTTCCTTATTTATTTTGATGCTCAAGTTGTCCCAGATTTTTCCTAGGGAGTTTACTTTCAAGATGGCTTCTAGTCCTTTTGATATACCCCAACTTTTTTTTTAAGTGCTTTCTTACATGCTGTTACACTATATTCTAGGCTTTTCTTGTTCCTTCCCTGTCCCTGCCTTCTGCTTCAGCAGCAGATTTTATCTCTATTTTCCAAGACTGTTTGCTATTCAAAACATCTTTGAAAGGTAGTTCTGAATGAACAAAGGATGATGGCTAATGGAAGATGTATAGAATGTTATGGAGTATTATCTCTGAAGTTGTTATTATGTTATTATTATTATTATTATTATTAAATTTGGAAGGTTTGAGTTTTTGTTCTAGTGGCTACCTTTGTATTTATATCTTTTATAATGCTTTTAATTCCCGTTATTTATACTTAACCTTTTATATGGCATCCTTGACTCCCATCTGTTACCTTTAATAGCTGATGCTTCTATTGTACTTTTCCTTACTTCTTTACCTCATATTTCTTCTCTTTTTATTCTTGCTACTTTGTTAGAATATACATATATATATATCCTTTATTCTTCGACCCATGCTGTCACCTTGTTTTAGAATCAACTCTAAAATTAAATTTATTAAATACTGACATCAGTTCGTTTGCTGATACTTACCCACTTATTTCCTGTTTGTATAAAACTCATCCACTAATGTATTCCTCAGAAAAGACCCCTGTGTACAGTATTCCCTGAGATCTTGCACATTCCAGGATGTTTTTCTGTGGTCTTGTCACTTGAATGACAGGTTGACTAGACATGAAATGCTTGGCTTACAGTCTCTTTTGTGACTTTCTGAAAAAATATTCTGCGGATATCTTTGTTATCAGCCTTATTATTTTACCCTTGTAGAGAATGTATTACTTTCTTTTTCCTTGAGGCATTGCCATTTTTTATTGTCCTTTTTTTTTTACTAGGGTAATTCTTGAAGTTGGTTGTTTTTGACTAATTTTGCTGTTTTTTTCTCATATGTTGACTTAATTTTTCTCATTCCCAGAAATAGTTTTCATGGATTATAGTGTTAAATATTAGTTCTATTCCTTTTCTCTCTCTCTCTCACACACACACACACACACACACACACACACACTCTATCCTATATAATAAAAGGCTAATATGCAAATCAACTGAATGGTGGAATGACCGGTCACTATGACGCACACTGATCACCAGGGAGCAGATGCTCAATGCAGGAGCTGCCCCCTGGTGATCAATGTGCTCTAATGGGAAGTGCCGCTCAGCCAGAAGCTGGGCTCATGGCTGGCGAGCTCAGCGGTGGTGTTTGGAGCCTCTCCCGCCTCCTGTGGCAGTCAGACATCCCCTGAGGGCTCCTGGACTGTGAGAGGGCTCAGGCCAGGCTGAGGGACCCCCACCCCCTGAGGGCACGAATTTCGTGCACTGGGCCTCTAGTGTAATTGTATATATACTAAGTGTACCAGTTAATAATGCAGATTTTTTTCAGTAGATTGAGTTACACATATGTTGATATGTATGTGATTTGATATATATGCTATTTTGTTGTATTGACAGC